TTATTATTATTATTATTATTATTATTATTATTATTATTATTATTATTATTATTATTATTATTATTATTATTATTATTATTATTATTATTATTATTATTATTATTATCATTATTATTATTATTATTATTGTTATTATTGTTATTATTAAATTTAGAAACTTTCAAATTTCAAACTTTGCTATTATATTATATTGTTTCAAAACCACTTTTATCAAACATTACATTGAATGTTTATGCAATTCAAAACTAAATCAGTCCATTTTAAATTTGTTGTTTAATAATTGAGCCGTATTGGCAACCAAAAAAAAAAAAAAAAAATCAAATAACCAAAAAAAACTAAATCGGCACATACATACGCACACACACAAACATACTACACACGCACATACACAATACGCACATGCACACACATACACATATGTACATATATGCACACCTACACGTACAACTTACACGTGTACACACACGCATACAACACGCCCACACATACATATGCACACACATACACATACATATACATGCATTCAAACATATAGAGAAATGACTGAATGGACACGGAAATATCTAATGTAGGGAAGGAATGCGGCACAAATGGAAAATGGACGCAGTCTTTATTTCAAGTTTTTTTTTCGTTTTTTTAGTTTTGTTTTTTTTTTTGATTTCAAAAAACTGATTTGGTGACAATTGTCTCCATTCCATTTACGATAAATAATCCTATTTATTCTTCTATTTCAACTTTTCTGTTTCACTTAATTCCATTTGCAATAATGTTAGTGAGTAATGATAGTAGATAATTTAGGCGATAGTTAAATTTTAATTATTTTTTTCTTTTCTGCAAAATTCGTTTCATTTCAAAATTATTTTCATATCATATTACTGTTGATGATATTTAGAAGAAAAGTAAACTTGTACGATTAATTATTACTTATTAAAAGTTAAGTATTTAGAGTAGTAATAATATTGTATTCATAAATTTACCATTACTGCTTAATTATTTGAAACATTTTTTTGCTGCTACAAATTACCAACTTATCAGTTTATAATCAATGGTGATTTTTTTTTCTATTATCACAAATGATAAAATAATATAAACATGGATGGTATTAGTGATTTAGACAAATATTCACATGCTTTTCATATATAAAATTCAATTTTTAACATGTCTTTTACATTTTTCAATAAATAATTAATAAATTTGGGAGAAAAATTTTATTGTTAAGACGATAAATGTAATGTATGTCAATTGGTAACATTAAATTACAATGTAACAGTCAATTTTGGAAATGTATGTTCAAATTTTAAAGAGTATTCAGGTGAATAAAGAAGAAAAGACAGATAGATGGATTCGGTCATTCAACAAATGGTCAAATAATTTCGTTCATTCAACTCCGTTCCATTTTTGTATCATATTACCATCGTTACACAGGCAGTAAAATGTCATTTTATTGATGAAAATTATTGTTCACTTGAAATTTCCCATCAATTCTTCAAATTTTCCTCTAAAATCCAAAATTTTATCTCTTTTTATTTTTTCTTTCTTTTTTTTTTGTCGCTCGAAATCTTTTAGTTATCTAATTGTCACACGTTTTTTTTTTCCTTTTTTGCGTTTTTACTTAATAACTTTATGTTTTCGTTGATTTTTGCTTCATGATTTAAATATTTCCAGCATATTTATTTATTAATTATTGTTAAGTTCATTAATTTATAAAAGATTACAAAGATTATAGATTGCAAAAATCAAAGATCATAAATTTAGCCAATTCGATTTACAAAATTAAACATTGAAAAAAAAATGAAATAATTTAAAATTTTTTATTATTCATGTAAGGATTACTATTTCTACAGTAATACCTGGATAATTTATTGAAATTACAAATGGGAGTGATAGAAAAGGAAAAATGATCCTTTTGGAATTATCTGTAATAGAATCTAACTTCTTCGTATATTCATCATTGTTTATTTGAAATAACAGAATTTAAGATGACTATGCAAGGTGGCTGTTTCGTTAATCCTATTAATGAACCTACCAAATATCTGATCATCAACCATCTAAATTACTATCATTTTAACAATAATCTACGGTAACCCTTAATATCCTTATATTAATATTTCATTTTTACCAAAATAAAAAAAAAATTGATAACAAAATTATCACCAATAAATTTTTCATTTTTAATGAAGACCAGAAAAAAAAACAAACAAACAAAACAACAG